CAATCCATCCTAAAGGATCTATTCTGCCTTTAACCTACTAAAGCAAAAGACATGCAAAGCCAAAGCAACTAAAAACCATCAGTGTTCCCAATTAATGATGATGATGATAACAATAAAAACAATAACAACATCATTTTAGTGCTTTCAATTAGTTTCTAAGTCGGCTAGATACCATTTTCTTTATCCCAAGAGGTGCTTGAGCAGAAATTTGAAGGAAATTTATTTTCTACTTTGACTTTTATTACCTGCAGTCTCTTTTTTGAGTGCAGCTCCTGGCCACCCCTTCTTTTTTCTTTGCAAGTGCTCTGTTCATATTTTGCATTCAGATTTGTGGCAAATTAAAAAAAAAAAAAAAAATTGTTCATCTAAAGTTATCATTATAATGCAAGTCATATGTTACTTGATAATGTGTGATAAGCCAGGTTCTCAGCTGATAGAAATTAGAACATCTTCACTCTTGAGCTGTATCATTTATATGTATTGAAGGATGGACGCATCAATGAAAATTAAAAGGCAGTGCTGCTTGTTTTATATTAATAATCAACTAGCTATGGTTTTCTCTTAAAATAATCATTAGCTAACACACAATTTTGTTTCCTCTAAATGAGTAAATACAATAGAAAAAGAAATCTGGTAGCTGGTAGAAGAGCTACTAACACAGATATAAAACTCAAGGATTGTTGACTGAGTATCTTTACATTCACTGATTAATCTTCCCTTTTCATCTCCCTGCATAAATACAGGATGGCTGAATGATCTAGATAATGGGAAATACATTTCATAATCTCTCATAAAAACTGTGGAAAACATATTTCCTTTTGTATAATCCAAAAGCTTGTGTTTTATTGAAAACAGAGAAAAAGAATTGCTAACTTCCTCCTTATAGAAAAAAGCATATTAGACATTAATCTTCAAGTTAAGGAAAAATCCATGCGATGGATGCACCAGTGACTTTTCCAGGTGTGTTCCTGCCTATGCAGTCAATTGTCATACACAAACAATAATCAGCTGAGGCACATATTGCTCCCAGCCTTGTATTTTCAAAAAACAGCAATGAAGGAAAAAATGTCACAGTTTCTCCATGCTCACTTGTCTCACACCTTTTGTATTTGATCTTCGCTTCATAATTATGAACTATAATGGTAAATATTCCTTTTATGGACACATTGGAGTTTCATTAGAAAGGGGAGAATAACTGGAAGAATTACCTCTTACATGTTACAAACAGACCTCAGGGCTCAAAATAATAAGGCACAAATGCAGAATTTCCCAAAAGCAGGTAAAAGATGAACTCTTGCATGGCCTTTCTTGCCCTGGGGGCCACCTACCAAGTTTTATGCATCTAAACTCTAGAGCTTTCTATTGAGATTATTTCATGAGGCCAAAATATGGACACAGAGTCTCCTGTCCAGGATTAGGACACTGCCAAAGAGAAAAGTGGCCTATAATTCAGGGAATCCCCATAATCCCCATCCAACAACTATTCATTATGAGCTGTAGGAACAGTCAGCAGTGCAGGAGCACCGGAGCAGAAACCTGTGTTGGCGTTGACCGCTGATAATGCAGGACTCACTTTCACCATTGGTATGCCTTCTCTTGGCTTATCTAGTCCAGAAAATTTATCAGGCTTTTCTGCAAAGCAGAATGGCTTTAACAGAAGGGATAAAAACTGCTCCTTGCTCCAAGTGTGGTTTAGTGGTTAGGGGATCCTCGGGGCACTTTGGCCATATGGGCCTGAAATCCAGCGAAGAGAGCAGGATGGCCTGTTCATATTCTGGGGTTGTGAGCACGGCGTGAAAGGGTTTGGCAGTACTTTCTTGGCTATACTTTAAAAGAAAGGAATGATCTCCATGGTAGTTTCCAAGAAAATGACATAAGTACCTTATTCCCAGAAAGGTTTTAGGGAAATACCTCGCCTCAGCTCCCAGTCAAGCACTTAAATGCAGGAGAAGGAGCTGCAGACTTGAAGTCATTTCCTGCTGACCAGCAAAGGAGCCTCTCTGCTCAGGGATCTCACCACCATGAGGCCCAGGCTGAGGCAGCTCACTTTCCTCATTTGCTTTACAAGGAGCAGGGACACCTAATTCAAAGTCCTGGATTACAGACTCAAAATTAGACGCATAAAATCTGCCTAAAAATAGAATCAAATAAACCAGAAAGCTCCATAATCTGGAAAGACCTGGCTCTGAGGAGGAAGACACTCAGATACAAACAAGGGACTATATTCAGGAAATGCATCAGCAAAAGTGTAACTGAGTGCACAATTTGGGATGAGCAAAGGGTGCTGGATTTTGGAGAGCTCAGAAATGCAAAGAACACAGGCAGAAGTATCAGAGCAAGTCTACGCTCCATTCCCATGGGGCATATTATCACCATCTGGGAGATGATTGATATTTATGTGTCTAGTTTATGCACACACACAGACACTGCATTTTAGATGGAGCCTCTCAAGTTAAATAGCAAAACCAACAATAAGACAACCTGCTGACAACTCCAGTTCAGACTAAAAGAATCAGTCAGGAATCTCATAGCTTAGGAGTAACTCAAAACAGTTATTCCCTCATACATTTTCACTTCAGTGATAAAATGGTATGTTTCACTGTTTATAAACTACTTAACTTGGTAGGGATGTGGTGCACTTCCATTCTGAAGACTGCGAGTGCATCAGGCAAAGATAAAGGCCACATACATTATCTGGGAAAAGGAAGGGTCAGACTGAGCCCCTGTTTTGACCTTCATGTTTTTGGTCCCACTTAAACCAAATGAGTTTGTCCCACAGAATTTTGTAGCAGCTGTGAGGTTCTGTAGTTAGTTTATATAAGCTTTGCTGAGTTTATGCTTAGAGAGTGCTGAGTGGTTAGGGGGATACTGCATACTAAATCCTTGCCTCTTTAGGGAAAAAATGTATTAAGCTGTCATTTTTGTGTGCATAAATAGGAAATGTTGAATCAACTTATGGCTTTCTAGACATCTAATTTGTTTTTCAGCTGTCCATTATTTTTTCCTTTTTTTCCCCTTTTTTCTTTTTTTTCTTTTTTTTTTTTTTTTTTTTTTTTTTTTTTTTTTTTTTTTTTTTTTTTTTTTTTTTTTTTTTTTTTTTTTTTTTTTTTTTTTTGAGGTTCGAGAATTTTCTTGAGAACTTTGGACATTTGTAGGAAGCCACTGAACTGCCATTCTGCACATTTGCTTGGGAGCAAATACAGATGGCACCCACATGTAAAGAAAAGACAGAGGGAGACACAAAGTTTTGTGGGAACCTACTCCTCTTCTGCTTGTCAAAAGCATGTAAAATGTTACTCATCAGAACTTGAACTAGAATTATTATATAAAATTATGTCTCTTGCCTGTTAACTTCTGCTTCCAAAAGTCACAAAACAAGAAAGTATATCATCATGTTTTCTAATGCCTTGTTCATGTTTTTTTTCACAGCTGCCTTTAGACCTGTCTCAATCCTGAATTCCAGATGCTGACCAGGAAAGACATGTTGGAAAGTACCTGGACTTCTCTGAGAAATCCTAGTCCATCTCCATTAATAAATACCACTTTTAGACAACACATTACCCTCCAGCAGCTCCAGCATCCGACAGAGATGGTGAGATGAATTCTCTGCTGCTGACCACACTGAGGAGCCTTTTAAAGTACCACAAACATCTACTGAAATCCCACAATCAAAACCAGACACAAAGCTCTGTGCATCTCCCTGGTGTGCTGCAAATGACTAAGCAGGGCACGAGGCAATGCAGAGCTGTCTTGGTGGGCAAAATATTCCATTTTATGCTGGTGTAACTGCATTTTTTTTCAGCTGAGTTGCACTTGAATAGAGCCAGGCTAATGCAGTGGTGAAGCAGATTTGATACTTCTACTGCGCTTTGTATCTATGATTACAGCCTAAAAGATCTGCTTCAAGTAAAAAAGATGTTTCTATTACGTATGTCAGCACAGGAAACCACCATTTTTTTCACATGGGTGGCAATTATTTCATTCCTGGAGGTTGCTGCTATGCACCTATCCAAATGGATATATAGCATTTAAATATCAGCAGTGACTCACAGACCACTAACAACTACAGAATCTCAGATGATGAAAAGTTGGAAACATGTATTTTTACAGACCCTTTTTGTGGTTGGTATCTTTAATAATGCCAAATGATTTACTAGTGTCTCTTAAGAGTAAAACAGTAAAGACTTGCATCTGTTAGAGAGTTGATCCAGCTTGTTCTCAACTTTTTTGAGTCAGTTTATTATCATATGGAAGTAGTTCTTCACCTAGTTGTTCTTATTTTCCTTCTTTTTCTTGTTTTGGGAAGATAGCACCAAAAAAAAAAAACCAAAAAAGTCTTAACTGGAATGGGGCCTAAATGCTTGTTGATTTTTTTCATGTAGGAATAGTTCTTTCAATAATGGTTAGGTCCTGAGCAAAGCAAAGGCTTCAGACACTTCCTTCTTTTCCTAACTTAATTTTTTCCCCCTAATATTTTAACAGCTTGGGAAAACTAGGCAAATTGGAAACCTGTATGTAGAAGATTCAAACTAAATCAGAATATAGCCTTTCTTTCCCAATCATTCACCTTCCACTTTTTTTTTTTCACAAGGCCATACAATTTTGATTTTCCAAATGTACAAAACAAGCAACTTTGTCAAATTCCATCAGGTAGCATGATTAATTCCCAAGAGGGCTTTAGCCTTGGAAAACAGGAATGCATTTTCTCCACCACCATCAGCTTCTGCCAGGTAGGATTTTGGCCTGAACATGCTTCCCTCCACCATCAGTAGGTTGTTTTTTCCTGAGACAAACTGCCCCAGCAGTTTAACCCAATGTCACTCATGTCTGCAAAGTTGGGATTATTTTCACAGGAGCAGATCTCAGATAGAAAGTAGGTAAAGGAGAATGAAGAGATGAAAGAGTTGGGTAGGGAAGGCAAATGGGAGGATGTGAAAGAATTTTATGTGGTTGACAGAGGGCTCCCAGCAGTGAGAAGACATGGGAGATGAGTCAGGTCAGCAGATTCTTGCACCAAAAAAAAAAAATTAATTTACATAGACTAAGTTTATTGAATTCTTCAATAATAGTTTGGAACAGCACCTGTGAGTAATTTCTGAATAAACATGTGTTTCTTAGAAAACATCAACCTGTTCATTCCTCTATTCTTTATCTCTGAATTCTCATCAGCCACATCCTTTCTTCACATTTGCCATTTCAAAGTTACCATGGGTTCAAACAAATGTCCTGGCCTGTCAGATGCTAAATATCCAAGTGCAGAGAGCAAAGCCTTCCCTGCCTGAGCCTGAAAGCCAAGGCAGGTATGTGGATGTCTCAGCCACAGCTGTGGTTCATGGCCAGCCAGCTGTTTCAACTGACAGAGAATCAAGCTATCGTTTCCCAAACCACAAACATACCACATCTTATTCAGAGTGAAATAAGGGATGTGTTTCCTTTTGACAGTTTGTGCAACAGGTGGGGAAAATTACAGTGTCACACTAAGTATTACACAGTGTCTGTGCTCTTGTAGCTTTTGTGAACACTATCATCATAGAATTTCTCTTATTAACCATGAAGAGTACAAGATTTACATGCAAAACAGAAGCCTTGACTCTCGTTGTGTGGAGCAATTGCACGTGCTATCTTAGTACCAATTCCAGATTTTACTCGTTTTCCATTTTCCAGTTCATGGGGCTCTTTGGAGATGGAAGATTGAAAAACACTGCAGAGTTTAAGTGATGGAGGGAGAATATTACAGCCTGGCCTTAAGGCAGGTAGGCAGCAAACTGCATCCTGCTGACAGAAGAATATCCATGTGCAACTGGCATGAATGTCTGTGTTGTTCCGAAGTTTACTTCCTTTCTGAAAAAAAAAAAAAAATTAATATATTTATCTCAAAAATCTGCAGGTTGAAGAAAACACCAGAAACCACAAAACTTCCTTGATATGGGCCAGGCAAAACAGGGTGAGACTCTAGCCAATAAAATTATTCACTTAATCAAGTATTTTCTCATTATTAAAATGATGCTGTCTCACTACTACTGCTCCAGTTCTTCCGTTCTCATCAAAATCTCACAACATATTTCTACAAGAAAACGTAAAGCATCAAAGTACAGTGTAAAACATCACTGCTGCACCCAAAACAACCCTTCATTTCAAGATTTGCAACTTTCTTCCTACGGCATGGATTTTGCTGATCTTCCCAGTGCTCAGCCTGTGCCATTTTTCCCTGTCTGCTCCAAGTCTCAATTCTCACCCTTAATTGCTGGGTGCTAAAAAGCACACTCAGTGCCTTGCAGAAGGTGTGTTTGGTAGGCTGCCAGGTCAGGTCTTTACACTGCAGAGACTTTGGGGTTGGGGCCATATCTCCGTTTATGTTTGTGAATAATCCAACACATGTACAGCACTCCGGGTCTGATCCCGTATATCATAACATCACTGATGTGGGACCAGATGCTGTATGAACAAATGGGAATCTGTTGCATTCATGTAGTGCTTTTTTTTTTTTTTTCCAAGGAACTCAAAGCACTTTACAATCTTTAAGCCTCACCACATGCCTGTGGGGAACATCGGGGTAAGTAGGCCTGTAGCATTCTTTACAGAGCCAAGTACATTTATTCAAATGTAGCTGAATAATAATAATGCAACCATGACCTCCCATGACACTTACGTTCCTTGGGAACAATGAAACTGTCAGCCACAAGGGTGAGACTCATGAGTCTGGGTGTCAAAACTTTTTCAGCAGCTGGTCCATGGCTGCAGGCCTCACTTCCGTAATAGATTAGGATGACCACGAGCTCCCATGCAAAATGCAAAACTTTGCTTCTTCACACTCGTTTTCCCACCCCATCAGCCAAAATACCAAAACAACCTGGGTGGAAAACAAGAAGCCCTCTATAGGGTTTTGTGAGTCATGCTACAGATTCTAATAGACAATTACTGCTCCACTAGTAGGTCTGCGTGTTTCAGGAATGACCCCATCTCAATAATTTAATCCTTTAATAGTTTCTGGAGATCACTGATTGATTTTAATGAAGCACGATTATAGCCTTAAATTTGCTTTTGCAGAATTTTGCAGGGGTGAAGTAGTGACAAATAAAGAAATTAACCATAATTTAATCAAAATATGGTTTTCTACACTGTTATGAACCTATGTATACTGAAAAGTATTATGCTTTTTTTTCTGATTCAATAATTTGGTTCCAATCCAATAAGGAAAGTAGAAGAGACATTTAACAAATGCCATTCTCTTCAGAAAAATGAAAACAAATGAAAACCAATCTGCAGAAAATATTTGGAGGTTAAGACCCCAGACTCCTCCTCTGGGAGTAGAATGAACTTTGGAAATCTGTAAGTCAGAGGCACAATTATCTATGAAAAAAAAAAATCTATGCACTATTGATTAACCTTGGCACTTCAGACAGCGGTGTCACCTCATGCATTGGAATGACATGCCACCACGTGACAAACTTCAAACTGGACATTTCTTAGAGATGGCTGCTAAAAAAACCCTGCATTTAATGTACCAACACCTGTGTAATGTGCAGCACCTTGCTTTCCAACTGGTTTACTGTCTTCCAGAAACAACCCAGAGTGTTAAACTGAGCAGAAAGCATCACTTTTAATCACACAAACCTCTTTGTCACCCACTCTAGTTTTGCTAAGATGCTATTTCCCCCCCTTCTTTCTCAGACTCCTTCCTTTTCAGCGGGAGCTCCTCCACCCCCTTATGTTCCCCTTGTGCAGCAAGTAAGGCTGGAGTTGCCACAGTCTCCTTAATGTCTAATCCTTTAACACTGGGAGAGCATTGTATTGCAGCCCTAATGCAAGGATGAATTCTGGAATGTGCAGCCTGGAGAGAGGATTATAGAATAAGAAGGAAAGAAAAAGGGAAGAGGAAAAATGAATTGAGAAGAGAAAGAAGTCAAAACCACACATGGGACAGAAGGAAAAAAAGGGGATTAGGTGACAATATCCGACTGCACTGAAGGGTCAGGAGAATTAAGCTTCAGAGCAGCTTGCTCAATGTGTGCTGGGATAAAAAGGCTCTGATATGAATGGAGGTGGTTCAAGTGCAAGCACATTGTGGAATGCCATAAGAGTCTGCTAGGGAACATTTAAGAGAGTTGTGTACCACTTTCATGTAGCAAATAATAGATATTGTTTGCCGGGCAAAGATCTGAGCCTTCCTGTCACTTTTACAAGGTTGTTACAGAGGAATGAGAAACACAAGAATGGAATGAAATGGAATACCTTTACACTAAATGAAATTATAAATCAAATAATCTGAGCATGTGCTCCTAAGATTTATTATTGCATATGTTTATATTGAATATAAACTTAAAGCAATAGATCTCTGTCCAAAGAAAATCAGTGCATTTGACATCAATGGAGTTAGATCTGCTTTTAACAAATACTTCAGAGCCTGATTTTTAATACCTAGTTGTACTGCATGTGCAACTGAATACATAACCTTTTCATCAGGCCAGCTTTGTGATCTTTCTAATCAATGTGGGTGCTGCATCTTGAAGGACACTGACTCATTATGATTTTCATATATGCAGAGAGTACTTCTACACATCTCAACAGTTTAACTGAAAATATTAGAGATACTGAAAATTCCCATGCAGTTTATTTTCTATTTCTTTATTTTGCAGACCAAAAAAACTCGCAGACAGCCTCAAAGTGACAATTTGGTTACTTTATGAAAACCAGCTCTCTACATCTTCTTACAAGACAGGCACTGGATGTTAACATAGCTGGAATCTGAGAAAATGCCCTCTGTCCTTCTGACATGCTTTTTTGCCCCAACATGGCTTCCTAATACAAGATGAAATAACATCCTCATCTCAATCTGGCATGACTACCCGTCTATGAAGCAGAGAGAAAACTGAGAAACATGAGTGAGGGAAGAAACAAGTCATGAATAATAAAATAAAGTGGTTTTTAACTATGTAAAGAGAATTCATTCAAGTCAACCATCCTCTGCTGCAGAGAGCTTCAGTAAAGCTGAAGGTGGCTGTGTATGTGATTCACATGCGCTTTGCTTTGTTTTTAAAATAGAAAGAAAACACAGCTCATTGCAAAAAAAAAAACCCCATCAAGCCATCAAAATAAAACAAAACAGAACAAAACAAAACAAAAGAAAACCGAATCCCAAAACACTCCATTCCTATACAAAACTGACTTGGATTGGAGTGATTAGGACACGTTTCCTTCCTCCTCCCCAGTGGTAACACCTATGACCTGACCCAGGACTTGACCTGGAAGCTGAGAAAAGAAGAAAAAAGACAGGGCTTTCAGGGTTCACGAGAGCATCTTTAGAAAGATATATGCTTGTATGTTAGCATTATGGAAGTGCAGTGTCATTTATTCCCTGGGGACACAGATGTGAAAGTGCAGTTGATGTATATTTTCAACTAATACTTTCCTGTGACAGAGGACAGAAGAATTGTTTCCAGTGAATTCAGCAGCAATATTTTTACTGACTTCAGTGAACTGGAGCTTTACTCCAAGGTTCTAAATATATCACAAGAGTTCACAGCCATATCAGCAATTCCTCCCCCATCATCCATATCCTTAAAAATACATATATGTCCTTTATTTCCTTCATCCTCTGAGTTATCTGTGTTTGTTGTTTGTCCCTTTTCAGTCCAAGGCTGCTGAGAGCCAGGCCTCAGAGCCTTGAAATCAAAACAACAGCAACACATTAGGCAGTCTGCTGTCTGCAGGATATGTCTGACTAAGCTGGGAGTGATGTAGGAGCTGAAGAATCCACTTTCTTGTGCAAGCAGGCACTGTGGCAGGGCAAGGTCTCTGTGCTGCTACGTAATGTGTTCCCCTGATCTGTGTATGCACACAGACACAGACTATCCTATCCAAACAGAGCCAAAACATTAATCTCAAATCATGCAAAAAAAGCCCCAAGAGAAACAAAGGCCTCGTTTTGCATGTGGTTTTTTAAAAATTTTTTCTCACAAGCCTCTCCAAAAAAGATAGTTATCTTAAAATTGGATTTTTGCATCACACATTCTTCTACCCACGTCCCTTCTCCTGCATCTTTTTCTTTAATAACAAGAAGGGAGAAGAGAGGGAAAGAAAGAAAAAGGCTCTCTTTAAAGGAAAAAAACCCAAAACAATAGAAATCAAAGGCAGTAATGCTCATACTCATTCAGAATCATGCTATAGGTAGAGGTTGGGAGGGAAGAGTAGAAAGCACTTTCTTTCCTACCTTTGGGCTTCCTAGATTGGCCTAGCACAAAATGTTGGGCTTTACAGCTGAGGTGGAAGAGGAACTGCTCCTCCGAACATTCCAGAAACTTATTCCTCAGAGAAGCTGAGCTGGTCAGCAGAGCTGGACCAAGACACAAGGAGACTGTGAAGGGATGCCAGAGGTGTAAATCAGTCTCTACAAGGGCAGGACCTCTGAAAGGAAATGTCTCTCCTCACCAGCCACCTGCTAGCAGGGTGCAGCTCCTTTCCACCCTGTGTTTCTGGTCCAAATCTGGAACAATCAAGCCTTAAATAACTTGACTTGACATTGAACTTGACCCAAATGAAACCTGTAAGGGTTCAAATAAAGTTAATTTAGGTCTCATTTTTTTTGGTATATCACAATGCCAGATGGTACCAAAGGTTGTGGCTCCATGAGAAGACTAAACTTATATTACTCTTATTCGGAGGAAGACACTATTGGAATCCCAAGACACAGCTCATCATTAGCTACCTGAGCCTATTCTGCTGGTGAGAGGCTGCCTGGGCAGTCCAAATCAGTTTTGACAATATTCAGACTGTTATGTTCAAGTCTGAGCCAGAGAAAAATCACATATATTGTAAAATCATTTTCACTATAAAAAGCTTTTCCCCCGCCAGAAAAGACCCAATGTAAATTCCAATAACTTCAAATTATTTTGAGATGTTACAAAACAAAAGCTGGTTTTGCATGATCTTTCCCCAAGTGATTCCCTCGGAATCAAGATTGTTTATCTGAGAAATGAAAGCATTGGGAAATAGAAGAGAAGAGCTGATCAAAAACTTGCCTGCTGTCAGGCAGAGGTGGCAGGGATTATTTTTGGTGCTGAACCATTGGTTGCACTTGTCTGCAGTGCTGAGCAGATGCTTCCCCTGCATTTTTCCAAAGCAGTTATCTGCAATTCAGGCCTCTTAATCACAGCTGATGAGGAAAGAAGGCCGTGTGGTGCTCAGGCGGTTTGTGGTACAACTACCAGCAAGCTGACTGCATGTATTTCCTCTGCAGAGGAACCTTTCTCTTCCTGTGACAATACTCAGGGTCTGGGGAGGTTTTTTGAGTGCGTGAGAGTGCAACATGCACTTCCAGTACTTCAGATGAATTGAAAGCTATCATTTGAGAAAAGAACATGCCATCCTGACAGATGAGTGTTAAGCCTTGTCTTGAAAATGATTCAGAGGTAGAAAAATCTATTTCCATGAAAACTCAGAAGATGAAATTTAGGACAGAGCTCTGTTTTTCTCTTGGTTCCCAAATACCCCACAGTTATTCCAGCCACTGGCAGTGGTACCTGTGAGAAGCACAGGTCTACACTCACTCCCCAAACAGCCCCTGCCCAGGGGAATGCCTGGATTCAGACCAGCTATTGTTTCCCTCACATTCAGCACCGCTGCTGAAGCATGAAGGAAACTCCCACCCTTGTCTCCCCTCCTTGCCCTCCCCCTTGCCCCACACACGGAGATGTGAAAAAGGAAGCAGATCCAATGAAAGCAGTGAGAAATGGGGTTTCTTCCTTTCGCTTTGCACTGCCATCCATCTGCCACCACAGAGAGCCAGGCCAGGGCTTCTCTCCTGAGAGCTGCTGGTCACCTGCCACAGCCTCTTATCTCTGCATGTTTTTCCACCTTTGAGCATCCAGGAGTAAGAGAAACAAAAGACGAAAGTCGTAGTTGATACAGAATCTTGTATCACCACCTCCTTCAGAGTACAGCACATTTACCAAAGGTGTTGCTGGACTCAGCCTTCCAAACCTCTGACCACAAATGGATCTGAAGATCAAGAGTCATATTTGCTATCAGTAAACCTGAAATTCCCAAAGAGCGTTCCTGGTATCTTAAGGATCCAGGTATCTTCCTGGTATCTTAAGGATACCAGATATCCTTTAAAAAAAATACAGTTCCTGGTATTTTAAGGATCTTAAAAACAGCACTGGTTTTTGGAATGTGCTGGCCCAATCACCAGTTTGCTAGAATAACATTGCTTGTGAAGCATCTGTCACTTAATTGGAGTCCTTCACCACATAACAACTGCACTTACGTTAGAACAATTCAAATAAAAATGATTTAGAGGGAGAATCCTAATCTATGTGCTACAGAGCATCATGCAGCCTTGAAAAGTGGCACTTACCAGTCATTTCCCAGAGCCTGGCTTTCCTATAAGCTTCATAATTATTCACCAAGTGCTTTGTGGTAGAGCTATAAAAAAGAGAAGGCAGAAATTTGTGTTAGACTAGCAAAAACTGGAAAAGTTAGTGTCTTTTAAACAAATGAACCAATCAATGGGACATTTAGACAGGATAAAAGAAAATAACTTTGCACCATAAGGGTGGTCAGAGCCCAGAAAGACTGGCAACTCTCCATCCTTGGAGAGGTTAAAAACTCCACAAGTCCCTGGGCATCTTTTTCTGACTGGACCTGCTCTGAGAAGGAAGTGAGATAAGACAACCAGAGGTGTTTTCTCACAGCATCCTATGTCCTTCTCAGACTCTGTCACTGAAGGTTTTCATTTGCTCTGGTGCACTGACTGCACGTGAAATGTTGTTCTGGTTACAAATGGTGAAGTAATGAATTAGTAATAAATGAATTCATAAATAATAAGATGGACAATTAATAACAAATCTAGTTTAGCATACAAAATAAATAATAATTAATGTGTAATAAATTATTGGAGAATTTGCAAATTACTAGTTTGCTTTCAACTCCTGCACATAATCATATTACTCATGTGCTTGGACCCCTGCTACTCAGGTTTTACATGTTCCTAGAATCTACTGAGCTATCTGTTCATAAAATTAAATTTGAATGCTTTAGTAATTTCTATCTTTGTAACAGAGCAAGGTTTGTTTGGGGCTTGCTGGAGTTTTTTTTCACAGCATAACCCAAAATTAACCTCAGATCAAAGCCATCCTATTCCTTTCTGAATACTGTGCCCTTTGCTGCAGTGTCTCAGAGCCTTCCAGTGATATATTACAGAATGTGATTAGCAACTGTCACGTTGTTTGCTTCTCATCATCTCCCCAGGGATAAACTCAGTCTAAGTGTTTCACTGGTAAGAGTTTATGCTCGGTTTTGTTTTGAAATGCGTGAGAATGATCTGGCAAAGGAGTATTGCCAGGTCATTTTCATGAAGCACAGGATTCATGCTGAACACTCTTCCATGTTTCTGTATCACAGGAAATTAAGGAGATAAGATACATGCTATTTAATAAAAAAAACTTGAGGAAAAACTGCCATGGTGAAAAGGAATCAAACCCAGAATCCCATCTGCCCAAAGGCATTGATACTGCAGTGTGTTGAGGATCTTTTGACTGGTGCTACTTATGCTGGCCCAAGAGGTGTCAAGGCCACTGCAGAGCAAATCAGGATCTCCTAGGATTTGACTGACTGGGAGAACAGCTTGGAGTCAACAGGTGGACTTGACTGGAAGATTTCCCCATGAATAAAAGACCCCTCCCCAAAAAGGTAGCCCCCCAGAAAATACCATGAGCAAAACCTGCTAAATGCACTCATTTTGCTTATCAGCACCATCCCAAAACAACAAGCAGCTCTCTCTGGACAAGAGATGTGGTGAAAATAATGCCATGGCTTCAGCTCACAGACAATTCAAGTCAGAGTGGGTTATGTGTTCTCATTAAATCCCAGAAGACTCTTGGCAGAACAAATGAAAACATTAATTCAGGCATTTTCAGCACAGCTTCAATGTATATTTTTCTCAGTCTTGGTATATATACCGTGTTGCCTCCCCACCATCCTCTCTCTGTAGCCCCAAGGGCCATTAATCCAGTTTTGAAGACAGCAATTTCTTTCATAACCCAAATGACTGCCTTGACATGTCTAAATAAATAGTGCTTTTATTTTTTTTAAAGAGGAATATTATATTCCACACTGGGTAAAATCTTTCATTCACATTATTTGCTTGAAATTTATCACTTATAAACCCCCAAAATCCAGAACTACAAAAGATGGGGAGCTCTCCTTGTTCCATATATGGGAAAAACAGGAGCTGATGCTAAAGGATAGTCCTTCAATGTTAATGCAACAAGTCCTGACAGAAAATAACCAGGGCTTGCATACTTGAATGTCTCAGGTGCTTTTGTTCAGTGTGACTGAAAGGAAAACTCTCCTGGCTCAGTTAGTTCCTTTAAAATGTAGGACAAAATCTAGTCACAGTAACCTGGAAGTTGCTCTGCTCTACTGAGGTAAATCTGACCCATGAAATCTGTGGTGCTTTTATCAGCTTGTGCAGAGCAACAGGGCTTTGAGACTCCATCCTGGCACTGCAAGGCAGAAAAGATAATTCAGGGCAGGGTCAGTGTCAGGCCCAAGGTCTCCTGAACCATTTGAGTCATTGCCTAATGCAAATCTGTGAAATAAAATCAACAGGCCTGGATGAAGCTGTACATCTTTACAGGAAACCCAGTTTCAAAAGTAGAAATTCCATTTTCAAGCTCATATTTAATCAAACTGTGCACTCACCTTTCCTGCAGATTTAAAAGCAGATATCACTGATGAGAAAATCTGGCTTATAAAACCAAATGTACATCATTTTTTGCCTGATATTCTCATCTCAGATATACATCCTCCTCACTTCACCTCATCCAACTCCCAGACTGCTTGGAAATTATGGAAAAACATCCTGATGTAGAAAAACTGATTATCTGATGTACAGTTTGGTATGAGAACCAAATAATTCAAAGTACTAATTGGATGAAAAGCCTACTGTCACAACACAAATATTAAAGCCTTCATCCTGTCATGATACAAAGATAAATTTAGGAGTACATGAGGGACTCATTTGTCATGAGGTGGAAACACTTTGAAACAAACTCAGATTTTCTTTTTTCGGTTGTATCAGAATTATTTTTTACCAGATGAGTAAGAAACCAGCACAACAATTTAATTCAATCTTTTGTGCTGCAAACTACAAACTTAGCTTAAACTTGAGTAGACCTGGCTCCAAGCAATTTTTCTGATTTTTAAACAAATGTTTTTCATATAATTTCATTTTTAATTTTTCTACAATTCTCTGCATGACTAGCAAATTGTGTTTATACCCTAACGGGAATATTTGATGCTCTGTCAAAGCAAATCAATCTTCCCTCTCTTTAGATCCTAATGATGCCATCAATAAAAGCCCTCATCAGAAATGAATGTTCTGCACAAAATGCTACGCATAATGGTATGACCCCTCAGGATGCAGGGCATGTCATTTTGAATTTATTTAAACTCTGGGAGCCTTGTACAGAGCTAACTTTAGGGTCTTTGGAGTCTCCAGCAAAACAAGATCATAGTGCCCCACACAGAGTTAGAAACAAGAGCTTGCACCTGCAGGAGCCTAGTCCTCACCCTGTTGTTGGATGGGGCTGCTTGTTGCAGTGATTCCTCCCCTGCCCTGCCCTGAGGTAGCAGATCCCAGTTTGGAAGGTGAGCTGGGGATCAGCTCCATCCCTCTCCTCTCATCCTGCCAAAACATGCAAAGCTGCATCCCTCGTGTTCCCAAGACTGAGACAATGTGTTCCATACACACCACAGGGTATCGGGGTTTGTATTTCATAAATCACTTAAATCCCACTAGACTCCTTGCATTTTTCAATGCTGATCACCAGGGAACAGAAGAGTTTGGATTTCCATGGATGCTTTTACACTTGAGGGAACCCAAAGTGTTTTAGCATGGATTAATTCACATCCTGGCACACATACTGGCCAAGAAGTTAAACAGAATAATCTGCACAAATGCAGCAGTGGTCAGTGACTCTTTTGACCTGAACTACATGTTGAAGCCCTAACAAAAGATGTCCCACATAGGTAAAAGTCTAAGTAGAAATACAGACAGAAAAAACATATCCATGAAAGCAAAGAGAAGAACTGTCGGTTTGGAGAAGAAACAAACCCTCCAAGCCTCAAGGATTTGTTTGTTGGTTTGTTTAGGTTTTTTCTCCTTCTGGTCTAGAAAAATTTCATTCTTTGGTTTCTTAGTTTTTCATGTAAAAGATGAAGCTGTGCAGATTTCACAACATTTTCTACAAAAAAGTCAGTAGTCAAAAACTTCATTATCCACTGAAAACCAACCCTGATCACCCTTCGTGTGATACTGGGGAATTCAAAAGAAGGTTTGGGCTCCTGGTACATATTTGCATTCCAGATGAAGCAGCAAGAAAATACAAAAGAGAATGAGTGGGAAGAATCACTTTTATGGTAAGTCAGGAGCAAAGAATATCTCCAAGTCATGCAGGATCTCCAAAGTAAAAGACTAAGTTGTAGGAAGAGCCTCTGAAGGGCTCAAGGGCAGTAGCTGTGGGCAGACTGGAGAGTTAGGCTTGTGCATACTATTGAGGGAACAAAGAAATTCAGTACTCAAAGACTAAAGAGAGAGCACGGGCAAATAATAGTTTTCATTTCAAGAGACCTCTGCACAGCGAGGAGGGGGCAAAGATCAATATTTTAGGTGCATTTTATAATATCATCCTTGAATTCACTTTTTCCACAGTCAGAAGCAGGAAAAGAGGAATGTTCTATTGAGGAAGCACAGGAACCACTTGAAAACGCCAGTGCTATTGAACACTGAATGTACCGATGAGGGCATTCTTCCTGCGATTAATTTCTGAGAAGAGATCAGTGTATGAAAAATATATGTGGCATATACCCCCAAAAGAGAAGAACAGAATGACTTCTCAATGCCTTTTCAATTCCAAAGAGACCCAGTGTAACATGAGAAATGTGTATTCAAGAGAGGTTTCCCACCATTTCAGTATCCTAGTGGTAAACTGAGGTTCACAAGTGCAGCGAGTCCCTCTAACCTCCACCCAGCTCACCAGCAGGCTGTGGATCAGACCACAGGCATTCCGACTCCCAGCCATTCCAGTGGTTATCAGCAATTTACAGGCCAAACTCTTCAGGCTGAGGTGGCCTTTCTGCATCATGGGCTCTGTTTTCCAGGACCTGGCTCCCAGAGCACAGCTGGTGAGGGTTTAATTGCACAGGCATTTGCAAATACTGATATTACACAGTGAAACATGAGGGCAGTTATAAATAGCACAGGGGGAAATTCAGTTTACAGAAAACTGGTGTCTCACAGGCTTCCACAGACCTTCTCCTGGATGAAGAATTTAGGAACTAAACCAGTTTAGGGTCAAATGTTTCAGGTTGACCCCTGTAGCAATGCCCCTTTTGAACACTTTTCCTTCTGCCTGCTACAA